CAATATTTAAATATAATATATCCTAGACTGACAAATCATCTCCGTTCAGAATCGTTTTTCGTATACAATGATGCCTATCATTGCATTCAATCTAACCTACCCTAGTAGAGGTCCACCCCGACCCCACCACCTAATGTACAGCAGAGCGATACCCACTTTCCCACTTTTTCTTCTTTAAAACACAACAATTTGTGTTGATTTAAGAATTTTATTTTGATAAAACAAAAACTACACACGGGYGAAGCCGGGTAATTCAGCTAGTACTTTATAAGCTGCTTTAGTACTTAAGGTACCTTATCATTTATTAATAAACAAGCTGCCTAATATTAATTAATTAAATTAAATAAAAATATTTAAACACACTTTTTAATTTTCACCTATTATCTAAGTGTCTTAATTATATAATATATTACTCGATGTGTTTGATGAGGTGGGTATCAGCGCCTACGTGGTGGTATTTGTTATGCTATTATTATTGCTTCTATACTTGTTAGGTTTCGACGTGTATAATAGCATATGCAGGGAGGGCCACGAACAGACTACCACCATCTCTCCAATTATTATTTGTTACAGTTATAAATTGAATAGTGTATTAGTGTATTATGTGTTTGATATCCATGCCATACGAAATAAATAAATTTAATATATTGTATCATGACGTGTTACCATGTTGTTTCATTTATATTTTTTTATTATCTAAACACAATTATATTTTTATACAAGCGTACCTACAATTTAAATACTGTATATACGCTGRGAACACCCGGTTTATCGTTATTATTATTATAAGAGACAAGTTATCATAGTTTTTGAATAGGTCAAATTTTTTTACCATTATATCCATCGATAATCTTATAAATCCAGTAAATATTAACTATATAATATGTATATTGTATATAGAATTACGGTAAGAAATTAATTACAAACATTTTAACAGTTCATGAAAAAAACAAAAAGGTTAATTTGGACAGAGTACCTTAATATGTAATACTATTATTATCGTCCCATACTCACATAGGTCGAAATTTGATTATAACAACTGTTTTATTTGTAAAATAAACTCGCGCCTAAATATTACGTTTATCATCGAACACGCTGTTCGGTATCGGTGTTAGTGTTTACTCTTCTTTTATTCGTAATATACTAATATGAATAATGAACGTGTTATATATTTGCTGTGACATTTACTAATTTCCGCACATTTTTAAAATTTTATTTTATTGAATATAGATAGCGACGATTGCGTAACGTATTACACTATATTATATTATCATTATTATCTGTGATTATAATTATTTCCCAATGCGGGAAATTCTATAGGTATTTTGATTTTTATCACAAGTTTTTCAATTATGTTTTTATTTGAGTTGAGTTGTTTAAAAATATGTAGAAATAATTTATGAAAGTTGTAATTACCAATAATAATAATCATTTATTAATTTGATTTTGAAATTGATCTATTCTTCAATATGTCTTCTGTATGATTTGATTTCTATCTAAATTTTGATAAATATGTCAATCGTACGTTTTTTTTTTATCGTCATAACTCAATTAATCAAGCCGAATGGCTCTTAAAAAAATGTGCTGTAATATAAATGAAATTTAGTTAAAACAGGATGAATCTTAAAATTCAAAAATGATGTGTTAAAATGCTGTCTATAATAAAATGTCAGGGGAATTATCTATTTTCCTTATGCACATAGTCCTTATATAGGAAACGTCTATGATGGTTTAGTGGTATTTAAAGACGTATGAAATATTTCACTATGTGATGATAAATGATAATTCTATAATAATTAAATGTTTCACAATTTTAATTTTCATGACATTTTGAAGCACTAATTAAACTACGCTCTGAATATACGACCATTTTATGATATCATAAATTGATGTAATTGGCTATTATTTGAATATAATTTTTAAAATTAGAAAGAATTTGTAATAATATTTTCAATTTTGTATCTTTAAATTTAAATAATCATTRTAATGTGAAATGTAATAAATAATTAAGACAAGTACCTATCAGCTATAATAATAATAATATTTGTAATACCTATTAAGTTATTTTGAGAGGTATTAAATATTTGCAAATGGAGAGTTAATATAATTTACATAATTGTCTAATACGATTTTATTTATTGTTTTATCTTTAGATTAAAAAGAAATTTAGGCCCAGATTGTAAGAAATCATTCTGTACAAATAATTCTATTATTCTAAATATTGTGTTTATTTTTTTCAATGAACTTTAAATGTATTGGAGTCGTAAACATTTGTGATGTGTCTTACAAATGTAGCTTTAATTTTAATCGTTCAAAAAAGTTTGTTTTACTCCACACTGTATATCTCCACGAAGGATATTTTTGATATTCTAATTTTGAAGCAAGTTATGATCATTTTTCAATCATATTGACGTCTTCTTAATGTTTGTTATTATTAAATAGGTAGGTATTCAATTAATATTTGATAAAAAGTCGTTTCATGTTATTGAAAATTTGTTTGCAGCAAATTAAAAGTTGACCTATGGGTTTATCTTTGATGGAAATATTAAAGAGGTACCTGTATAAAAACAAATTTTTTCCTAATTATTATGTTATATATAGCTGATAATTTCTATTAACGAATACTTGCATTTTTTTTTTTTTTAAGAGATATTAACAGAAGTTATTATATCTAATTAATGCTATATTCGAGTACCTATATGTAGTCAATACTCATCATTACTCACTACTCATTAAACTTATTAAAATAATAAACGTTTTCAGCTCATCAGAATTTGCCCATTATATATTATATAGTTAAGTATAAAGGGTAAAATGTATTACGCATTTATATTACACATACGTTATAATGTTATTTTTTTTTTTTTTTATAACTAGAACTAAAATTTGTCAACATGCAGTCTTATTGTACGGTGTTTGCGTTGATAATTAGCATTTCGTTTGCGTTTGCAGGTAAATTTATCTGGTTTAAAAACTATTGTGTTTACAATTTTTTTTGGCATGAAAATCGTATATTGATATTTATAAATGTTTTCAGACAATTTATCAGCAAATAATTGGTCGTCTGATGATGACACGTTACCGGAAGTGCTACCAAAAAAAATGCGTGACAAAAATGATGAAGAAATTCAAAAAGCAGTTTTTCAGGCATATGAAAACCAGCTTAAAGTGATTTCTGAATACTCTGGGCACATGTTGGATCCAGAATCTCCATACGGATACTTTAAAGACGAAATGCCGATTTCGAATGTGAGGACTTCTAATCCACAGTCTGATCTTATATTTTACAATAATGCCATTAGAGGGTTTATTGGACATAATAAAAACAGTATTATCATTAAATGGGTTCCGAATCAGGTAATTAATATTATTATTTTTTGAATTGATCAGTCGGAAAAAATTAAATTGAATACGTAGAAATAAAAATATAGGTACTTGTAAATAGTCTGACATTTTTAAAATGTTTAAATTACCTGCTTATTACGTTTACTAAGATAAAAATAATGAAATCTGCAACACTTTGTTCTTAAAAAAAATTCTAGTTCCTATATACATCTAGATAGTATAATATATAATATATTTATATGTTCATCATCGTATAAATAAAACTATAGATAATGGTTATTGGATAAAAAATAAATCATTATAATATGGAATAGTATCAATAGTATCTATACATCTAATATTAAAACTAGGTGACAAAACTAAGGTCCAAAAGACCAAAACTGAACTGCTGAAGTTCTGTACATAATTTTTTTATAATATGTTACGCACTTGACGGAGATAACAAATGTTGATTTTCCGTCTTCTTAAGCTATATTATTAAATTTTTCTCTTAAGTGATAATCGTCATGGTTGAACGGTGTTATAGCTTAATAGTGTATAGGAATTAAGAAAGCATATTTTTTTGTTATTATTAAGCAGATTTTCCCACACTCCAACTAACTGCTACCTATATGAAAGGTGTTAATATTAAAAGACCAAACTTCAAATATTATTTTAATTTATGAAATTATTTTGATCTCACTTACGAAATTGAAGTAGAAAAACTAGCAATTGCCTCGTTTGATTTCACTTCATTGTTTTGAATTACATTCATGACAATTATTTTTCAGTTGACTATATAAAGAATGGTATCAAACATAAATTCAAATTCACTTTGTATATGTATTTGTATATTAATAATATTCATAATCCATAATATTATGACCATTAAAATATTTTTWWAAAAAAAACGAAATATGAGTGGACAAATTAAAATATATATTATCAATTATGTCAATTATGATTGTTCTAATGTATTATTATTTTGTATAGGTCGTTACTGAATTAGGATGGAAAGAACTGAGCGTTAGAGGAAGATACACTTTCATGAATTCTTCRTATTTTGATCAAGGAAAGTACCATATCCAATTACAAGACATTAAGTATCTGGCAAGTACTACGCTTTCAGAAAACACCGAATCATACCCATCGACAGTACCAAAATCTAGCATTTCATATAAAAATGTAAAGGTATCATTCACAGGTGGTTTACCAGAAGTATTAAAGATTAGTGATTTTTCTAATGTAAAGTGAGTTACTTATTATAAAAATATATATTTTACAATTTCATTTATCTAACAAACATTTAGTTGACAAACAGTTGTTGTTTTAAAATTTATAAATTTTTCAATTAAATACAAAGCAAAAAATACTAGCATTTACTACAATTTTGAGAGTACCGAAGGCAGTTTGGTTACTAGATCACTGGACTCTTTAATAGTTTCACGCGCAGTCACTCAGTAGCGTTTCTTGAATGRCTACGTGTGAATCACGTTTTAAAGCAGACAATTTGTTTCAACCTTCAATATTAAGAAAGATTTCTAGTTGGTAGTATGATAAGTCAAGAGTAAGAGATTCTCAGCTTTTTTAACAATTGAGAAAAACCAACAAAAATTCTCTGGAAACCGGAATATTAAGAAAAACTAGTTTTTCTATTATTATTAAATTTAGAATTTAAAACTAAATTAGAAAGTCTAAAAATGGTTTAATAAAGATACAAATCCTAACTCTAAAAATAAATTATAGGTAATACTGCATATAGCAATTTTAATAATATATTAAAACAAAATATGATTCGGTAATTATGTAATTTCAGGTATTAAAAAATATAAATGACAAATAAGTATTATGTTTATAGCATAATGTAGTGCATTAGAAGATTTAATATTATTTATTTAAGGTTGATCAATTGATATTGTTTTTAAACATACTATACGTATACTATAATGTGTATTATGCAATTTGTATATACAATCAATAATATATAGGTAATTTAAAGAATATCTRCGGATAATCTTAACGGTTATGTACTTATGTAATATCAAAACATACCTAAGTGTCTTGTGACTTATACCTATACATTTAATAGTTGGTATTATGGTATAAATACCACTCTTATTTCGTTACTTAAAAGTAAAGAATGTTTTCTCTATTAAACTATTACAYAATTACAAATTAATCTTTAGCCCMTGCAGACTTGTTCTATAGACTTAATAAATTATAATTTGATTTCAATTTTTAAACTTCTGATATTTCAACGTATTGATGTAACAATCTTGAAGAGATTTCACTATTACATTATGGAAAAAACTATAGCTATATCTTGTACATAATAAGTTATACACTACACTTATATGTWTATGTCTATCATCTAAAATCTTTAAAAATCCTTTTATGTTAAATAGTTTCTAGATGTTATAATATACGGCAGGTATATAAGATTATAGAGTTGTTAAACTTTTTTATGCATGCAGATTGAATGATACGGTTGTGTCTACGTCGTAATTAATATAATCAAATTATCATTCAATTGTTTATTTTAAAAAATTATTACTCAATAATTTATCAATTTTTAAAAATATTTATATATTTATTTTTAAATTTATGATTTTAGACATTTCGTTGAAGATATTGTTTTCCAACAAGTAGCTGATCGCGTGGTTAGAGACACGCATAACAACATCACTGTGGCTATACGACAGGTCATAAAACCGTACATCATAATCAAGAACGACACCGTTCAAAACTTTCCCGGTACAAACGGAAAGCTACCTARCAACAGCGTAGGGTATAGCATCAGCAACACTGTCATTAGTGGACTCGCTAATGCGGAACGTAAATTGAAAAAGGTCACCGCGAAAATGGCCACCAACACGGTTACAGTTGATTTACGTACAACAATCCATAGCTTAGACGGTACATTTGACTTTAAACTCGAGGAGAGTAAGCCTACCGTCGGCAAAGCTACGTTCACCATCAGCAGAATCGATATCAGCATATCGTTCAATATACTTAAGCCCGTCGAATGCAAATCCGAAGTCGTAGTGAACCAGCCAAATGTTAAGTACGGTACAAAGTTGTCGAACGATATTGAAAAAACATTGACGAACGCATTTATTGACAATGTTAAAATTCAATTGACCACGAATGTCTGCAAGACTATAGGCCAGATGATTAAGCCTGGAAAATAAAAAAAACATCTATTTAATTTATTCTCTAACTTTCATAGAGTTTATTTTTAATGTAAACCTTTTTTAAATTTTTTGTAAACCGGTATAAATATTTTTTAATTATTGTTTTTGCCCCAATAACATTTCAACATAATCAATATAAATAAACAAATTTATTAATAAGATGTATYACAATAGTTATAAATTATTTAACATGCATAGATTATTACAAAACAAATGTAATGTAATTTTAAAATATAGGTACGCATACTATATTATATACATATATGTGTGAAATCAATGAAAAAATGTGATGAACATGATATAGATACAAACTACACATAATATGTCATATCAATACTATTATATCGAAAAATAATTTGGAATAAGTTATTATTAGTTGATAATAATTTAAGTTATTTATATCTGTTAAATAATATAGTTAAATTACWTTTTACATAAACAAAACAAGGGTGAAACAACGCTCAAAAAAGTTAAGATTCATTTTTATGACTGTACTATATTACTGCAGCTCATGTTATGGAAATTTCATGTACCAACAAAAATTAAAACTGATAAATTTTTCAACATGGTTGTTKTTTGTGCTAAATATTTTTAGATTCTGAGCTTAGCCATGGTATATTGAATGTATTTTACAATTATGAGTATTTTAAATTTTAGATTCTGAGCGGAGTGATGAATGTA